GTAATCTGGAAAATGAGTCACGCTAAACCGGATCCAGTGTGAATCCTTGATCCATCTGGGAACTGCCCTGTTACAGAGCCTCGGATTCCTTCAGGGGGATCTGGTTCTGGGTCCACCCACTGAGACTGATTTAGCTGATTTTCAGTAGAAAAATATTGAGGCTCAGAATGTAAACATTTAAAATGTTGTTTGACACCAATCTGAATTTCAACATGATATGTGATCAGATTACAATTAGACCGTCTGCAGCTGCATTTAAAGTGATCGTGTGCGCTTTGCTGTTACACCACATGTGAGCTGAAGTTCCTCTGCTGCCTCTGGCAGATATCACTGAGTGTTTGTCGCCCTCTGATGGACACTCAGAGGTGTTGGCTGGTGAGTCTGGACTGCAGAGTAATTATCAGCATTTCATTAAAGTACAAATGTACTCATTTACATTACTGCATTTAAAATGTTGTGAACTGAGCTGATGGAGTCATGTCAGTGTTTCTCCTCAGCATCCTGCAGCTTTAAGGCTACGTCCACACTAGCTCGGATAGATTTGAAAACTCCACGTCCACACTAGCATTTTCAGTCGTTTTCACAGAGTTGCGCATCCACATTCAAACCCTTACATTCCAGTCCTGTGCATGCGTGAAACACAAGACGATTCAACCTGCAACCTCAAAGGAAAACGCATTAGTGTGGACGTAGCCTCAGAAACTTTAGTCCAGAACAACAAGGACATCACACACAACGAGGACTTCTTCAAGCTTTGCTCACAAACTTTCTGTCCTTTTTCCTCCATCTGGGAAGTGTTTCAGGAATCTCAGACGGGGTAATTGAGACCACATGTGTGCACCACACTGATGTGTGACCCACACCTCCCTGTGAACATTATAATCGCCCGTCTGAGAATGCTTTCCACCTCTGCTTACATTCTATTAAATGTTTCAGAAAAGTGTGATTACGTCAACTTCTAATGATTCACTTGATTAGTTTCAGTGGGTCAGGACTGCAGCTGCCGTGTGTTGTATGACAAAAGCACCTTCAGGTATCTCTGTGCATGGAAGAGTTATGTAACCTATTAAAACATGTTGCCAGTAGCGCCCTCACAAGGCTAGTTATAGAAGTCAACTTAGGAGTTTTTCAGCCTCCTGCTGTCCCACACGCTTATATGTTGTTGTTGTTTTATTGTTAATTTATGATGTGATCTCCAGTGTTTTCCTGAAACTGGGGTCACCTGTTGTTCATGTATGACAATACTAATAAAGTTATAGTTCAGTGGTGTTCATAACACACACACATTGCGAATACAAACTGAGCTCTCTGTCTCACGGTTCCCTCTTCTCACTCTGCTGAAGTTCCAATGAAATGCAGACTAAAGAACTGGAGAGAGGCCTGAGAGCTGGAAGAAGCCGAACGTTTGTCATCTGGAAAACCTGGAACAGATGCAAATGAAGCCAGGCACCAATGAATAATTCATAATTCAAAAGAAATATCAACATATTGACAGCAGAACATGAATGCAATTCAATTCAGTTTTATTTACAGAGCACCAAATTCCAACAATCAGCTCAAATCACCTTAAACATCACCGTCAGCTCACAGTTATAGTACAGAGATGAAAGCCTGCACAGCTGGTGTGCTAGCAGCTGTGTGAGGCTGTACTTTGATCTAAATGCTAATATCAGCAGCTAAGAGATATTCTGATCTTACCCTTCTGCCGGAGGTTTCTTCCTGTTAAAAGGGAGTTTTTCCTTCCCACTGTCGCCAAAGTGCAAGTTTTTTTCAGGGTCCCAACATAATTTCTTCAGAAGAAAGTACTGTACATGATGCCAGCATTTCCCCACATTTTCTAGATTCTGTACCAGTACTTTGTGTAAGATGCCATCAAAAAGTCAGTTAAGTTTTATTCTTTCTCACCTGTCTTTCTGTCTCCTTTCATCTTTAAAAGCCATGTTAGAAAAAATATTTGCCCTGCCGTGCTGTTTATTGATGTGGTAAATAAATAGTTTATGAAAATATCACTAAATCTGTCATTTATTATTTTTAATATTCAGTAGTGGTCATGTCTCACCTCTAGTCTTCTCTGTCTTAATTTCAGGTTTCCACCATGTGTTGTAGATAGTTCAGGAGGTTAACTCGACCAGCTCTTTGGGTTTCAGCTAAGCACTGTTTAGAATACCAGAACAGGGAGGATGGTGCAGGTTTAAGTTTATCAGATTGATACATATACACCAACAAGACTGTACATCACTGTCACAACGACGTTTGTTTTCATTCAAAGGCTTTATGGCTTTTCCTATAATACCTGGTGGGCCGGTCTCCAGTCAAAATGCCCGGGCTGATTTTTACTCGGGTGTACTCTGAGGTGTAACTCATATACTGTGTTAACATGGTAACATGATTTTTATTCCTAAAACATTGTTGTTGTTGTCTTGCTCATCACATCAAAACACAAAACAAGATTGGGATGGCAAAACCAGCGAGTGACATCACTGTAGCTGCGTTCTTATTGGTGCAAATGGAAAAAACTACTGCTGGATAATATTTTCTCAGCATTTATGTAGCTGTGTTCTTTCTGGTTAAAAGACTTAAGTTAGCAATGAGAAAAATAAGAAAGTAACATTTTATAAAGTAAATAAATAAAAATCACTGAATTGCACCCAGTGGGACTTTCTCTCAGGGAAACTGGGTGCCTGAATTCTTTTAATCAGTTCAAAACTCAATCAAAAGAGATCTTAATAAAGAGTAACTGTGTACACGTATCTGGGACGTCTCCAGTGTCGGACTTTGATGGCTCTTTCCATTTTCATTTTGCTGTTGATGAATAATAATTCTCATTAAAATGAAATATGTTCTTCTTCCTTACATTTTCAGGTTGACTGTTCAAAGATGAAGCTGTATCCTCTTCTTCTCTTGCTTTGTCTCTGCCATCTGGGACTCACTGTAAGAAGAACCTCAGTCTAAATAACTAAGGGGAAATACTCTCCCTGTAACTGTACACTAGAAAATAACCCAGTCTGTTCTCATGTCTTCAGGAAGAGCCCAGTCCAGCACCTACAAGTGTCAGTAAAGCAGAAGAAGGCGAGGCGTCAGAGGGTGACAGCTGTGGAGGAGCGTTCAGCCCTGAGGCACACAGGGCAATAGGAAAGGCCACCGAGCAACTGGGTTTGCAGCTCCTGGAAAATCTTCCTGTTAGTCCACAGCAGCCCAATGTCATCCTCTCACCGCTCAGTCTTGCTTTTGCCCTCGGTCAACTCACCTTAGGTCAGTTGTGGGTTAGAGGTTCATCTCTTTATCTGACAAACGTTGTGAAATATGATTTGCGAGCACCGTCACAAGACGAAACCTGTGAAATTCTTGATCACTTCCTGAAAATATGAAGACGAGGCACTGAATTTGATGGAGGGGTCTGGGCTTTACTGCCAACAATGTTAAAAATGGTCATTTCCACCTTCTAATGAAGTTTGATATTTGACTTCGTTGTATCCAGTGCCAGCTGGCTGAAAGTTTGGTTTGAACTTAAAGTGAACAAGAGAGACAGAATTAATATGAAAATAGGAGAAGCACAACTCCTGAACCCAAAACAACAGAAAGTCTGCCAGTAATTCTGATCTGGTTTTAAATATGGTTTCATTCAACTACAAAGAAGCTGTTTGTCTAATGTGAGTTTTCTTTTTTCTGTGGCAGTCCACATGCAAAAGGAACAAACATCATCAACACCAGCAGCCTACATTTAGTACTTTTCTACACAAGACAGAAGCAGACATGTTGTGATGAAGTTCAGGAGCTGGTATGAAATGTTTCTTTGGTTTTATTATGTGATCTGATTTTTCTCGAAGGTGCTCGCACTGAGACAGAGAAGCTGCTACTAAAGACCCTTCACGCCCACGGTCTGGCATGCTACCATCATGCACTGGGAAGCCTTGTACCTCATTTTAGCCACACATCATTGGAGGTAGCGGCACGCATGTACCTGAAGCCAGGTATGAGATGATGAATATTGTACTTGTGGTGATTTATCGTAAGATTGGTATAAATCTGGACTTCTATTTGTATTTTTCCTGTCCTTTCTCTCTCAGGATTTAAAGTGAAGGCGTCCTTTGTTGAAGAGTCTCTGCACAGGTATAATTTACATTTGGGAAAGTATTGCACAAAGTTCCAGAGAAGCAGCCAAGTTAAAAAAAAACACTTTTTTGGTGGAATAAAGGGATAAATCGAATTTGTTTCATACGTTCCTGTTTGTTTATGGTTTTACAGTCTTCCAGTTTGCTAGGTGGTGCAACAATGCTCAAAATCAATTAAGATATTAAGAAGAAAGCTAAAGAGGGCCTGAGAGCATGGCCAGAAATGTTCACTGCATAATACAAAACGTCATGTTAAAATATATAATTTTATATTTGATGCAGGTAAAAAAATAGGTAAAAATGAGAATAGATACCTCTCTTAAATGTCTGTTCATTACTCTTGTCTTGTATGTGCCATGTTGATATGAATTTTCCAGGTACAAATCACAGCCTGTTCCTTTAGTCTCTATGGACGAGGTCAACCAATGGGTTGAGAATGTTACCAATGGACACATCCCCAACTTCCTAGAAAGTATTCCACATGATGTGGTGCTTATGCTCATGAATGCTGTATACTTCAAAGGTGACCCACTCCACAAAACAAAACTCTTCATTATTGTGTTTTACAGTCAGAGAAAAGATGGAACAAAGCTAAATTAATATTAATTAATAAACAAAGCTCATTAACAGGACAAATAAATCAAAGTTTTCTAAAGGGAGAAAAAAGCTCTCAGAATTGTGAAAACTGCAGAAAAAAAATCTGTCCTGGCCAAGGAGGACATCCTTCTCAAGAAACAGTACCACTGTCATATAACCAGACAGCACATTGTGCAAACCAGGGAAGCATCTCATGCTATTAATGAGCACTGTAAAGACAAGCCGTGATACAATGTGATTATCTACAGCTGCTTCAACAACTGAGAAATAAACTGAATTTAAGTTGCTAATGATTCTGACTTTTTTCCACTTTTCATCAGGTCAGTGGCAAACACAGTTTGACCCACAAGCAACATCAAAGGGAGAGTTTTACTTGGACAGCCAGAACTCTGTGTCAGTGGACATGATGAAATCTGTCCAGTACCCTTTACGCCTGATGTATGATTCCAAACTGGAAGCACAGGTAACACCAACGTCTGGGGTAGCACAACATTTAACA